GTTAAGTTTTGACTTTCCCTGCTGGATTACTAGTTCCATGCAATGACAGAGGTCTCTTACTCTCTGTGGCAGCTACATTATTTGGTAGAGGGCTTCATTCAAAGGGATATGTTATAGCAGATGCTGTTGGCTCCCAGCCTCACCCTGCCTCCCTACCTCCTGCCTCATACTGAATCAGGCCTTCCTGAGACAGAAACCTGGATCCTCCCATGCCCTGAGGATCTCCAAGACTTCAATCTACAGGTGTGAAGGAGATGCTTCCAGGATAGTCCCAGTCCCTCCTACTCAGGCAGAATGACTGAAGAATATTCTATGCAGCCTCCAGTGCTTCTGAGACCGAGCCAAAGTGTCCCCCAATGGTGCCGTGGTGGCATGGTGGCTTTAAGTTGCATGCACTTAGTGTTTCTTTTCCTTTCTGCTTTGCTTCTTGCTCTTTAGATAGACTGTCCTGGTTCCATTGATGAAATAAACCCGATTTAAAAGAATGGCACAGTGAATGGAATCAATAGAGACTGGAGATCACTCTACAAGTGGGCATCATTTGGCCAGGATCCCAGCAGCATCTAGTATGTTCACTGGGCTGTGAACGCCTAGAATTGAGGCAGGAACGTGGAGGGAGCTCTGTGCACAGTTTCAGAGGAGACCGGGCAAATGAGTGGCATATGTGGACCTCTGTCCCTACCCCAGGGAAGCAAGGACTTTTCTGTTCTAGAAATCTCCTTGGTTTGTTTTAAGAATCATCTTTCCCTCTTCAGGCATCATCTTCCTCCCCAAACTGGTGAATTTTAATGCAGTGGTGAGATCATTTGCTGTCTAGGTCACATAGGCAAATCAGCCTTCTTACTATTTTTGCTTTAACAAAATGTCTCTTTCACAATCCAGGATCAAATATTTGGCAGAAGAACAAAATATAGAACAGCAAATTAAAGAGCCTGGTCTCCATCTGACAAAGTCAGACTGAGGGCTTGCAGTGTTTCCTGTGGACAAGTGGGGGTGATGAGGGCAAGCTGATGAGAATAAACAGAGGCCTCCTCCATCCACCACAGAATCTTTCAGAACATTGGTCAGATGATTGCCCTATTTGGCTTGGCTGTGAACCAAGAAGATTCAATCATACTAGAAGAACTTTTCAAAAAATGGAGGAAGCAGAGCCAGCAAGCCTTCACCTTCACTTTGATTGACAGAGGAGTTGCAGATGTCTTCTCTGAGGTCATGTGGTCTGAGAATATGCATTGAAGGCTTCCCCCAAGACAATGACAAACACCTTAAGTGCTAGATGAAGGAAATACTTGAAGAATGCTGTTTGTGGTGGTTAATGTTCATTGTCAACTTGACTGGATTTAGAACGAACATGGACACACACCTCTGGCTATATCTATGAGGGTATCTATGTGTTCCTGTCACAATGGTTCTGGACCACAGACCAAAAATTTGTGAAAGCTTGTATTAGTTACTGTTGGTAACTGTGACCAAAATACTTGAAAACAAGTTCAAATAAATAATTATTATCTTGGCTCATGGTTTTGGAGGATTTGACCCAGAGTTGCTTACCTCCATATGCCTGGGAAGACCATCATAGTGCTGGGAGCATGTGACCAAAGAGTTTCTTCATGACAGATAGGAAACAAAGAAGGGAATGCCAGGACTCTATTCACTTCCTCCTTTTATTATATACAGGCTCCCCGTGGGATGGTGCTATACCTTAAAGGTGTGCCTTCCACTCTCAGTTCACCCTCTCTGGAAACACACAGAGACAGCTAGAAGCATGCCTCACCAATCTTCTAGGTAATTCTAAATCCAGTCATGTTGACAATGGAGATTATCACAAGGCTGATGGAAATACAGTGAAAAATGTCCCTGACTAAAGTCGGAGTCTTGTGAAGGATTAACTCAACTGGCGATTTCAACAGGAAGATTCCAGCCAACATTGTAATGTCATTGTAACAGAAGGTATTTGAAGAGAATAGTCTACAGAGGGAAAGCACTTAGCATCCTTCCCCCTCCTTCCCCTCCTTCTCCCTTTCTTCCCTCCTCCTCCTCCTCCTCCTCCCCTCCTTCTCTAACATCTGTGATAGAAAAGGCTCCCTAACTTTGAAGGTTCAGCTAGAAGGGCAGTTTCTACCGGATGATAATTAATATGCACTAGACACTCACAATGTTACACATATTGTTTTGCAGGCTTATTCTACTTATCACACTGCCATACAGCAAAACAGAGGGTAAAATGTCTTAAAATCTGGTGACAGAGTTCTTTTTATGAAAGGAGCCACCTTTCGGAGGCATGATGCTTGGCAAGTAGAGCAGTTACTACAGACTGGCTGCCTCCACTCTCTCCCTGGAACCCTCCTGGTGTGCCTTCCACTCTGGAGATGGAAATCTACAAATTCCTTTTTCAGGACATCTTGTAGGTGGGAGTCCTGAGACCCAAGATCTGCCAAGCACATGCACACTATGACTCAGATGCAGGATGGGAACTCCATGACATGGCTCTCTGCATGGGGAGATGGTGGCAAAGGAACCTGACTTCTTCATGGCTAGCAGGGGTGGCATGATCCAGAGCCAAGGTGGCAGCATTTGCTTCGGTGGCTCGGTTCTTAAACATCATTGTTGTTATTTTAGTAGACCCTAGATGCCCAGTCTAGAGTCTGTTCCTCCTTCATCCCAGTGAATCCATGAACAACCTAATGTCCCTTCATTAACCTATTCTAGTCAAGCCAGCTAGAGTAGAAACATTGTCTGCAACTAAGAAGCTCTCAGACACAGGACAGAGCTTGAGACCTGAAGGGTCTGAATGCCAGTCATGCTGAGATTCCAGTAACCGCCCTTCATAAGGCTAAGAGAAGAAATTAATAGTTCTTTGAAGAAGACAAGTGCCAAGTGAGGAGAGCAGAGGAAGGGAGAGACAAGATTCAGGAAGGGCAGACAGCACACATGGCGGGGGAGGCAGGAAGCCACAGAACCCTATTTGTGACTGTAGATGAAGAGTGTCTAATTCAAATGTTATTTGCTAGGTGGTAAGTGGCCTGTCCCAACTTTCAGAGTCAGCTCTTAAGTGCAGTCTTTTTGACCTTTGAACAGATGCTTTATGTGAGTGAGAGATATATATTTTAAACTAAAGCAGTGTTTTCCAGTTTGGATTGGTTCATAATTGCAGTTGTGAGGACAAAGTCCTCTCAAGTACTGGAGTGACTTTGTGACTAACCAGACCACAAAACTCAAGGAGAGGAGAAGGTCCACAAATTTTCTCCATTCTCTAGTCTCAAAAGGAGAAGTCCCCAGGTGGCATCTGTGTCATCATGCCAGTAGTGTCAAGATTTCCATTTTCCAAGAAAGGAGTCTGGGGCTTAGAAAGTGACCAGTGACCCAGCATTCCCAGTCAGATCTGTTTGATGTCAAACCTGAGCTCCAACATTGTCCTCCCACAACCCACTCATAATGCACCATTGGAAAAAGCCTATGATGGGCATTGTATTGGTCACAAGAATCACCTTAAAGGAGAAAATGTTTATTTTAGCTCTGGATGAGGGGATTTAGCCTGACGCTAACTCACCCACTGCAGCCTTTTGTGACCACCATGAACAGCAGTGCTTGGCCTTTGCACTCTTCCATGGTGATTATATTTCCTTGGGTAGAGGCTTTGGCTGTTTTAAAGGGCTTTAGGCCATTGTCAAATTGTCCTGCACAAATCTATCAACTTGCTGTCCCAACTCTTGGGCACTAGAAGCTTAAAAATAATTATACAGGCGCTGGTGAGATGGCTCTTGCTGCCCCACAATGCAAGCCTGATGACCTGAGTTTGATCCTAGAACACACTAAAGATGAAAGGAGAGAAGCAACTCCACCAAGTTGTCCTCTGACCTCCAAACCTGTACAATGACACATAGTTCCACCCCTTCACCCACAATAACATTTAAAATAATAAAATCTTATAATTATATATTAATGACTGTTTTCCCTCACTCGATAGGTTAAAAAACAAAATACTGTATTCCCATAGGGAGGGGTAGATAGGTAGTCCTGGTCAGTTCACCTCTAAGCAATTTAAATCTTCATTTATTGTAGCAAAAAGTGAAGCGATCTAAAACTCATGAATTCAGAAATAGAGGTATATATGTACTCTGAGAACCAGCACACTGCTTGCAGAGTCATTGCACTTAAGAACCTGCAGGAGGGATAGGGTCTAGTGCAATAATGGGGCTCTTGTACTTAAGTTTACTGTAGCAGTTTATTTCCTAAGTCTTATGTATTTTTTTAAGATTTATTCTATTGTTAAGGATATGTGTGTGTGTTTGTGTGTGTGTGTGTGTGTGTGTGTGTGTGAACGTGTGAGTGCAGTGCCCTTGGTGGCCAGAAGAGGTTGCCAGATGCCATGGAGCTACAGTTACAAGGTGGTTGTGAGCCACCTGATGTGGGTGCTAGGAACCCCTGGTCTATAGGTTCTGGGGGTCGAACTGGGATCGTCTCTGAAAGAGCATTACAAGCTGTTAACCATTGAACCAGCTCTCCAGTCCTTGCCTTTTTAAAAAACATATTTATTATTTTATTTTGTGTATGAGTGTATTGCTTGCATGTATGTAAGTGCACCCGTGTCGTGCAATGCCCGTGGAGGTCAGAAGAGGGCGTTGGATCCCTTGGAACTGGAATTATGGATGGTGTTAGCCACCATATGGGTGCTGGAAATCAAACCCAGGTTCTCTGTAAGAGCAGTCCGTGCTCTTAACCCCTGAGCCATCTCTCCAGCCCTCCAGTCCTTAAGTCTTAAAAAGCCATGTTACAGCACGAATTCTTTCTTTCATAAGCGACATTTGGTTGCTTGCATTTAAATTGTCAGAACTTCCATAATCCGGTAAACCTAACACCAAGTAAAACTTCTGGAAGCAGAGAACTACAACTCCCAGAATCCTGCAGATTGAAGGGGCAGACTGTGTTGGCATAAAAACTACAGCTCCCAGGATTCCGCGAGACAAAGGGGTGGTGCCGGGCCAAGGCGTGGGAGGCGGAGGCCGAGACCTGCGCACGCGCCACGGTTCCCGAGTTGAGCTGGCCAGCAGGCAGGCGCACAGCAGACACCTGCGAACCCAGGCGTCGGGCACTTCTGGAGGGACGGCGAGGGGTCCAAGGGACTGCTGGGCCCGCGGGCTGGGAGATGGGATGTAGAACCCAGCTTCAGGTGAGGTCCGCTGGAGCCCGGTCTGGGCTTGGAGGGAGCCCGCTCGGCTGCGGTCTGTGGGGCGCCGGGCCCTCGGGCTGCACAGGAGGTGTCAGGGCTTGCAAACCAAGGGCTGCGGTCGGGGGCTCTGGAGCAGACGCGCGGGTGGGCGGTGAGGGATGCACCTTCCCGGGCACCCCTTGACCTGCGCGTTGGAGCCTGCGCTCGGGGGCACGAAGACAGCGGGAATGTACACGAGTGTGCTTGGGAAAGGATGGTGCGCATTAGGCGCGCATGGCGCGGAGCCAGGGGAGGTACACAGAGGGGACCTGGGCCGGCCTGCCGCTGACCCCTAGGCCTCTTGGCTCCCTAGTGAACCAGCGGGGTGCTCCACGATAGGAGCTTTCCTGGTGCCGGGGAAGCCTCTAAAGGAGGACCCTAGTGGGCTTTTGTGAAGGTCTCCCCAGCATTGGTGGGAGTGCTGAGCCAAAGCATGGGACCCGATCGAATCCTGCTGTGGCGAGCAGCCTTTGTCCTCTGACCTTATGCCACCCAGTCCTCAGCCCATTCGTGGAAGAAACACGGGGACAGACTGTTTTAGGATTATGAGACAAATTGATAGGATTTAGGGCCAGAGCACAGTAGGAGTGGGTGTCATTCACCAAATCTTAGCTCCTTTACAACAAACAGCCCTGTGCCCTTAACTCGTTCTTCCTTTCTGAGCCTCTGCTTCATTCTCTGTAAAATGGGGTGAAAGCACCTTCTTCATAGGGCTGCTGTGAGGTGTCCTTGAGGTAATACAGGGGAAGACTTCAGCCTGGTGAAGTTTATCAGGTACAATAATCAGGGCCGCTGACTATTATACCTGATACTCGGTGTCTCTGCTTGGATATAAAACCTTAAGCCAGCTACTTACCCTTAAGGTCTGATTTTCTCATATTGAAAGAAAATAAAGAGCTGGGTCACGGTACTGTGGCGAGCATTTGCCCAGTGCGCAGGAGGCCCAAACACAGTGAGTTTATCAAGTATAATAGTCAGGGCCGCTGAGTATAGAAACAGCTGGAGACTGGGACTCAGGTCTGTCTTTTCCAGAAATAGCAGCTCTCCGGGGTCCCCCATGGATCTTGAATATCTTCTGGCCCATCCTTTCATGTGAGGAATCTGAGTCCCCAGTGGTGACAGCCAGGAGGGAAATAGATCCTTCTTCTCTGGTGGCTGGGAGGTCACTTTTGAGTTTTAAGCTTTTGAGGCCAGAAAAAGGGAATAGTGGAGAAATCCTTAGCAGAGGAGGGAGAGGAATGGTGCTGGTGAGGGGGTTCACTGGGCTGTGAACATCCTGGTGTGCATGGGTGTCTGACCAGTTTCAGTTAGTTTTGCAGTGCTGGGGATTGAACCCAAGGCATGCTAGGCAAGTGATCTACTGAGCTATGGCCCCAGCCCTCTTTTTACTTTTTATTTTGAGATAGTCTCAAGTTTCCTGGGCAGACCTTGAACTTGTAATTTTCCCTCCTGGATCTCCTGAGTAGCTACAGTGGCAAGACTGCTGTCAGGCCCAGCTAATGTGTTTTTCTACCCAGCCTTCTGGTTCTTGCTTTGAGCCTTACTTAAAATAGCAATAATACACAAAATCTTCTAGAGAACATTGAACTAATCAGAAATTTTAATTACTCAATGCCCCATTCCCCCAAGGGGCCTCATCAGGCTGTGTCAGCTTCGTTGTCTGGAGGGACGCTCTCCCTTGGGAACTGCTAAAATGATTCCCAAGGTTTTTAAGTTGGATGAGGTACTGAATGAGAGGGAGAATCCAGAGATGGCTGTCATGGGCCTTGTGGCCAGGCTTGGGTTTGAATCTCAGACCCATCCCTTAATACCTGTATGGTACTGAATAATCCATGTAGTTCTGAGCATACATCCTTCCACATTAACCGGGTGAATTGAGGTTAGTAACAGCTACTTTAGGCTAGTAGTAGGGAGTGAGCCCATGAATACAGAGTGCTTAGCATGCTGTCTTATGTAGAGGGAGAGTCACTAAGTGGGAGTTGTTATATCATTGTTGTGATTAATAGAGATATTATGAAAATAATTCTCAAACCTGGCACCTCCCTGTAAGGAGATATAACCGTGTCTGTCTTTCATACCAGGAAGTGGAAGTTTGTAGTACTTAGGAATTGGCCTAGTGTCATGTAGTGGGAAGTGGCAGGACAGAGGCTCATCTGGCATCTCTGCTATTCCGTCCCCATCCTCTGTGGTCTCTGCTGTTCTGGAACCCAGTTAGGACCAGGTGCGAGCATTTCTGATGTTATAGTAGGGTTGTACCACTATGTGTGGGGGTTAGAGCTTGGCTGCACATGTCCCCAGCCTGTTATCACACAAGTGGTGATTCTGGAGGAGGTGGTCCCCTGGGTGAAGCCAGGGGTGAGGCATTAAGAAGAATCCATCCACAGGAGCCCTGTGTTTTAGCTACTGCCCCTGAATGATGTGGGTGGGTGAGGCTGCAGCCTGGGTGGGACTTGGAAGCCTTAGTTGGAGAAGACCCTTGTTTAGGTAATGGGGAAGGAATGGGAACTGAATGGGTCTGAGTCTGCTTTGAGAGCAGAGCCCTGGGTGTGAGGAGGGGAGCCCTGTACTGAGCCTGCATCCCACCATTACAGTTCTGGTGACCTGAGAGACCTCATGCTGCCTTCAAAGACCTCACGCATAGAATACAGACTGGAGATAAGTCATTTCCAAGGGTTCTTTTAGTTCTAGAAGGTAGTGGTTTTGTAGTTGCGCATAGCTTGGGTATCTCAGCGGGCACCACAACAGGAGAGATAATTGTCACCCCAGCTTGTTGCCTAGAATCTTCGTAGGGTAAGAGAATGGTCACAGCTTTCTAAGCCACCAGCCATAGCCGGGTACTCTCTGTCTGGGCTAGAGTAATTATAGCAGGAAGCCTTGGGTTGCTAAGTTACCATCTAAGGCCCGTGGGTCTGTGTTTCCAGAGCCTTCCACCCTCTGCTCTATAAAGTCTTACAGCTCTGAGATTTGCCCTCCTTCTTGGGCACTGATGATTCTGCCAGGATCTGATGACAAATGAGTGAGGGACTTAAGACCGAGGCCCTTGGAATCAGATGCATGTTCAAATCTCCGCGTCTCTGCTTGGATATAAAACCTTAAGCCAGCGACTTACCCTTAAGGTCTGATTTTCTCATATTGAAAGAAAATAAAGAGCTGGGTCACGGTACTGTGGCGAGCATTTGCCCAGTGCGCAGGAGGCTCTGAGTTCAATCCCTAGCACCACAAAAAATAAAAATGAGGAGACTCCTAGGACCTGCCTTGGAGGGCTTCGTGGGGCTTACAGGAAGAGGGCTTAGGACAGTGCCTGTGCAGTAGGTGGAGGGAGGTGGCACTAGATTGGCCTTGACCCTTTGCTCTGGAGGTCAGCACCCTGTTTCCTGATCAGCCAGGAGAGGGATGAATCTTTCCTTCTCTCTGGTTTCTCACATTAAGTACCTATCCCCAGGCCAGTGTCACATCAGAAAATCAGATGTTTCATGTCACCTCTAGTGACTAGCCTGTGCTAAGACTTTGTCTTTTCTCTCCATTTTGCAAAACAGCAGCAGGCCCCTTCCAGCAGGCACTTCCTGAGGCTTGGCTCAGGTCCCACACCAGGACTTGTCTGCCTTATCCTTGCTGTTACTGCTTTTGCAGTTCAGGCCCTCCGTGGGTTGCTGGGCATGCCAGTGATGACTCACACCTGAGGGCTATAGGTGAGGTTTGTGGCACGATTCTCAATGCATCCTAAGGTGGCTTCGTGGAGCACTACAGTACACTGGGTCCCAGAACTTTTAAGAGAGTGGGACCTGGAGAAGCTGTCCCAGGACTCCCTTCTCAGTAGGCCTACCTTCTGTGCTGGCCAGCAGGAGTGGTGTGCCATGGCCAGTGTCCTACACTGGGAACTGTTGAGATCACCCTCTTCCTAGTCTGCTGAGCTTTGTCCAAGAGACCTGGTCTCATTTCAACACCACAAGCAGGGCCATCGGCACTGGAAGTAGATTGGGGCCCATTTTTCTAGAAGTCTTAAAATGTGTCTATCCTGGGACTTCAGTTTGTACATCATCTTAGCAAAGGCTGGAGGCAGAACCATTTAGCCTTTATTAATAAGGAGGATGATCCTCGGCCGGATCTTCATTTCCGTGTGTCTGGATAGAAATACCTTCAGAGTTCTGCAGAATTACATGGCGTCAGAACAACTCGAAAACCTTAGAGCAAGTCTCACTGAAACAGCACACGTTGGAATTACCTGGAAGTTTTATTAAAACATAGGCTCAGGAGCCTGACTCTGACCAGGTTTCTGGATCAGTGTGTCTGGAGTGGGACCCCAAGATTCTGCATTTCCTACACCACAGGTATTGAAGACACTTCCTGCCAGGTTGGCTCTGAGAGACTCAGGGCCCATCCTGTGCTTTGTCTGGACAGTAACCCACAAAGTTGATCTTTTGGGGTATATTAGTGTGTCACAATCATGCATGTACAGGAAGAGTTGCACCCTACCCCTAGAGTAGGCTCCATAGCCCAGTAGGGTCCTGGGGCTGGCTTTTCAGGGGAGTAGTCTGCTTCACCCAGCATCCTATGTAGGATAGAGTTTCTAGATCTTTCCCTACCCTGGCCGTCCCAAGATTGTCTCATAAAGATTCACCCAGAGTAAACTCAGTGGTCAAGTGTGTAGACTGTGATTCCTAACAGAGGTGCAAATCCTGAACTTGATCAGAACGAAGTGCCAGACAAACTGAAATTGAGGCTCATGCTAGAAAATAACTGTCTGGCTTGAAAACTGTCAAGGTCATAGGAAAGACCGAGAAACTGCCGCAGACTGGGAGAACAGACAGAGATAATTGGATGCCCCAATTTTCCCTGGGCTGGATTCTGAACACAGAATAGAGACCATGGTTAAAAATAGTATCATCAATATTAATTTCCTGAATATGTATTGCATAGGAGACTGCTGTCCTCAGTAGCACACACTGCAGTAGTAAGAGCTAGAGAGCTATGATGCCTACAGCATTTCTCTTTGTTTTGTTCTGGCTTTTTTTTTTTTTTTTTTTGAGACAGGGTCTTGATATGTTGTCCAGGCTGGTCTTGAATCCTCCTACCCCCACCTCCCAGGTGCTGAGATTGCAGGTATGTGCTACCATACTTGGCATCTAGTTTATTTTTTTTAAATAGTTCAAAAAAGATAGTTTGTATGTGACAGCATGGTGTGTCAACTTAGCAGCTGGCAAAGCTGGGTAAGAGTATAAGAGGTATTCTGTATTCTACAGGCAACTTTTTTCTAAGTTTGAATTTTTTTTTAACATAAAAAAATAAAAAGGCTGGAGTAGTGGATCATACCTTTAAACCCCCTGTACTTTGGAGGCAGAGGCAGGCAGATCTCTGTGAGTTCAAAGCTAACCTGGTCTATGTAGCAAATTCTAGGCCACTCAGGGCTATATAGTTAGACTCTATCTCAAAGAACAACAACAACATTAAAAGAATAACAACAAAAAGGTGAGTCTCCTGGCTTCCTGTGTAAATTTGAGCAGCTTTCTGGCCTCTCTGAGCCTTGCTTTCACTATCTTTAATATAAATATTGTGACTGTGGTGGAGTAGAGGGACGGCTGCAATAGTACTCTCAGTGCTAGGAAAAGGAGGGAGACACTGATGAGACCAAGGGAAACCCAAGCTGAGGCCTGTCACCTCTACTCACTGATGCTGGGTTGCAGACTCCTGGATGTCTGACAGCTGCCCAGGCCTTCTCCCTGCTGAGGGCTTTGAGAATACCACTCACCCCCAAATCTGTGGAGTTTCTCTGGTGAAACCAGCTCTCCTGGAAGTCTCATCCCCCTGTTGTCCCTATCCAGCAGCCCAGGCTCCCTGTTGAACTATGCATGGCTTCAGGTCATGTCTAAAGTAGGGGAGTACTCCAGGATTTAGGGGCCTTGTGGCTTGCTGGGCACAGTGACACCTGCTGTGACCAGACTTACAGCACTCATCACCAGCCCATACCCCTCTGAACCCTTGCTCAGAACTCTCCCCCACTCCCAGTTTTCTATGTTTCTGATTGTTTAGGTCTCCTACCATGGGTATCTCCCAGACTCTTGATGGGTTCAATCTCACACAGGCTCAGGGCTGATCTGGATGTGTATATTGGGGTTCTGCGATTTCCTTGTAAGAATTTTGTTTTCTTTTTTAATTTTGCAGCTTTACCTTAAGAACTTGGAACATTATGTTCTTTGTCCCATGTGTGAGCCTTACAGCAAATTCACGTCCTTCGTTTCCCATCTGTGTCCCTGTGTGTGACCACAGTAATGCTGCTCTGTGACGCCAAAGAGGACCACCAAGGCAATTAGCTTCCTCGTGACCTAGTCATACCAAGCAGAAAGTGGATGCCAGACAGTGTGGTGAGCAGAGCTCTGTATAACTGGGGAGCAGAACCCCAGGTAAGAGAATTGCAGGTCAGCAAGGGGGAGGCCAAGCCCACCTCCAGCTCCCCTGAGGCCTCCTACCTTTTGCACAAGCACAGCAAGGGCTAATCAGGAAAGATGATATCACCCATCACATCAGAGCAAAGTGACTTGAGCCCTTTAGGAGTTCTCCCTCAGTAGGAGTTGGCTTCCATTCATTGATAAGGAGGGAGGGTCACCAGAACAGCTGTTGACACAGGATTCATGCTGTTGCTCTGTGCTGCAGGGGTCAGGGTGTAGTATAAGAATGTGTACTTATAAGTGCCCAGTGTTAAACTTGCTAAGGGCCAATGACTGCTTGGCTGCCAGCATCTTACCAAAGGACAGATACTTTTGCTAGAAAGTCTGATCTGTTATAAATGTACAAATTTATCAGTAGCCTTAGGTTCATACTTAGTTTTGGTGTGCATATGAACATTGTATAACACATTCCAGTTGTGTGCTGCCTGGTAAACAGAAAGAGGGAGGAAGGTGAAAGAGCTCATTCCAGGGTAAGCCTGATCTTGTGAAGCATGCTTGTGCTTTACTCACAGCAAGTGGGCATCCATGCCAGACCCAAAGCTTTCACCATTCAGCACTGGCAAACACTGTGTTTAGGCTAAAACATACTTCTCAGTGTCTGTAAAGTAGCCTGCCATTTCAATTATAATTGTGAACATCTTCTAAAAGTCAGATTGCTATAAGTTTGGTGTAAAACCTTGTGACCTACCCTTCTGGACTAGATCTGTCAATTCTTCTATAATCCTGGGTCTGGCAGGTAGGTGCTGGCAGATCAGTCTCCTTCCCCAGTAGACCCTTCTGGACTAGATCTGTCAATTCTTCTATAATCCTGGGTCTGGCAGGTGCTGGCAGATCAGTCTCCTTCCCCAGTAGTCCTGCTCTTGGACGATTGACAGGTAGCCTGTGAATTTGCAACCCGACTCTAATCCAGGAATTCCTTTGACTTTTACTCCTTATCTCTCTGTAAGACCCCATGTAAGGCCCATGTGGGGTCTTCTGTGCCCATGTCTGGGGCTGGCCCAGAAATGGAGCCTGTGCCCCATGCTGGATATCCAGACTGGGGTGTGGATTCCTGCAGGCACCTGGTTCCACCTGGCTGCCCAGCCAGCTGCTGTCTACAGATGTGTTGGTGTTACTGATGTCTTCTTGGAGCTGAATTGAGTGACCTGGGGGCCGGAGGGGGACTGGGCAGCATCCTTCTGTCTGCCTCAGTTTCTAACAGGCTTTGTAGGCACGTTTTAAAATCATTTCTTGTTTCCCTTTCTTTAAAAGAAAAGAAAAAAAAGAAAAAAAAGTCTTACTTTGTCCTGTGAGCCACTAAGCTTCATTCTTCACACCAGTTGGGTCCTGAACATGATGCCTGAGGGAGAGGCAGAGAGGCTGTGAGTGCCCTGGACTCTCAGTGGAGTGCTGCTGAGATAAGGTCCACCCTGCTGGGCTTGTCAGCTTCACACACTGCATGAGATCATGTTTCTGTGCCACCCACACACACCGAGGGGTTTAGACAAATTTACTTCTCGTGTCTGGCTCTGTAAAGCAGGTGTAATAAAAACAGAGTCTCTCCATGATGGGTTGAGGATTCAGTGAGAGTGGATATACAGTTTGTAGTGCCCTGCCTAGAACATAAAATGTCGGGGTGGTGGCTCTTTTTATTTTGTGTGCAAAACTGGCAGCTCAGGCTGGGAGGAGCTTTTTCTAAGTAAAGGGCGCCATTGTAAAAGAAGAGAAATAAGTCACCCAGAAGACTGAGAGAACTTTAGCATCTCTTGAGTGTGCCACCCCAAGCAATTTGTCCAAACCCTCAGGGAGCACAGTTGGTTTGGCCCCTGTTTTCCCTCCATTGTCAGTTTTAGAAACCTCTATGGAAGTGCAGTTGGGAGGACTTGGTTAGTCATGCATTGCCTCCAGTCCTCCAGGCATCCTGAGAGTCCCCATGGCACAGATGTAGAGATAGAGGCTTGAGGAGGAAAATGAACCAGCCCAGATTGTGAGGCCCATTCTCACCAGAGATTGCAGGTGATGCTTCTGAGTTCTGCTCTGAACTCCTGACCCGCCCCCTCCTCCCATGAATGAGGGAGGAGGTTAAGTCGTCACACAGATTTCTAGTCCTGACACAAGGGATGCACTTAACCTTTGGAGCTCTGTCAAGTTTTTCCACACTGCTGAGCAGCCACTTAGGTGTCTACCTGACCTTGTTCCTCCTCTAGGGAGCATTACGGGTCAGCCCCTTGGGCAGCAGGAATTACTAAGCAAAAGCCAGGCCAGGCGGCCATGTGGCAGAGGGAGGCAGACAGCTGACAGGTGGGAGTTGACAGGAAGGCCACTTTCCTTACTGAAGGCTTGCCTCCCCTGACATTGAGAAGGAGGACAGTATGCAGTGATGGCCCTGCTTTGTCCCCAGGGGTCTGCAGTGCTCCTCAGCTACAGGGGCCTCGGGTGTTCTCTGTCATAGTGAGAGCCTTGAGGACAGGCGTGTCATCATTCATTTTTGTATTTGTCACATGCTCTGACCTGGCCAAAGCAGAGCCTCATTTCCCATTCTGTTCGTACTCTCTTAAGACTAGACTCAGCTCTAAGAAAAATTACATGCATAGGTGATTTATATGATTTAAGGTGTGTAAATTTACATATGTGTATACACATACTAAATATATATACTGTGTGTGTATTTGTGCTTATATACACTGTATAGCTCACCCCCATCCACACCAGCTTGTAGTAGGTAGGGTCAGGGAGAAGGCTTGCCGTGAGCACCCCCCACCATGCTGCCCTGCACCCTGCAGGGCAGGAACACTAGTGCAGCGGTGCTGGTGGGCATCCTTTCTGCTTGATGGTAACTTGCCATGTTGGCTGGTGGGTAAAGATGCTCAGTGTTAGGCCTGTCCACTCTATTCAATGCCCACTATCAGGACAACCAAGGAGATAAGCTAAGGCCCTCTGTCCTGAAAGACTTGAGGAAAAGTTTTCTGCAACTCTAGGCCTTAGCTGGTGTGTTCTAGAGACCTCCTCTGAGGGCTGTATTAGTATTTTTCTTATTGCTGGGACAAAATACCTGACAAGAAGCAACTGAAAGAAGGAAGGGTTTATTCTGTCTCACAGTTTGAGGGTGCGGTCCATCATGGTGGGAAAGGCATGGAGCAGGAGCTTGAGGTAGCTGGTCACATTGATTCCATAGTTAGAGAAGGAGAGACGAATGCTGGTGTTCAGCTTAATTTCTCCTTTTCAATCTGGAACCCCAGCCCATGGGATGGTGCTGCCTCATTCATTCTGGATCCCCAGTCTTGTCACATTGATTCCATAGTTAGAGAAGGAGAGACGAATGCTGGTGTTCAGCTCAATTTCTCCTTTTCAGTCTGGAACTCCAGCCCATGGGATGGTGCTGCCTCATTCATTCTGGATCCCCAGTCTATGGTACCACCCAGATTCAGGATGGATCTTTCCACCTCAGTTAACCTAATCTAGAAACTCCTTCATACGCATACCCAGAGGTTTGTGTTGTGATTCTTGGACCTGTAAAATCAACAAAGGTTGCCATCATAGGGACCCAACGAGAACCTGGCTCTTCATGGACATGAAGGATAGTACAAAATAGTGCCCTGTTGATGCCCTGCATCTTTCAAGGGGATCTGTGCTCTGTCTCACCTGGGCATCCTCCTCTTGCTCCTTACCTCCTGGAAGGAGGTCCCATTGCACAGACCAGGCTGTGTCCAAGACAGAGTAACATGGTAGGAAACAGGAGACAGAACCATGTGGTTGTAATGCTTTTCCATCTCTCTCCAATCCTTCCCTCCAGGGGGAAAGTGTGCTGAAACAACCTGACCAAGCCTTCAACCAATAATAGGCACTTTTCCATGTAAGAAATTTATTTCTAGGGGCTGGAGTGGGTAAAGTGGCCTCAGTTCAGATTCCCACCACCCACATTAAAAACCAGATATGGTAGCATACATCTGTAATCCCAGTGCTGGGGATGGGGCCAGACTCGGGACCTCTGGAGCTTCACGTTCAGTGAAGAGGTCTTGCCTCAAAAATGAAGGTGGAGAGTGATAGAGGAAGACACCTGACATCAACCTCTGACCTCCACATGCATGCATACCTGTATAACATGTATACCACATGCTCCCCACCTATACACAGGTTTTATTTCCAAACAACACAGTTTTGCAGTTGTCTCCCTGCCCCACAAGCAAAGCAATTTTCCTGAGGAGTAGAATCAAGGTTTGAGTCTGTTTAATCTGAGGCCATTTATTTTCAAGAGTAGTGTCAAAATTTGCACTGGCCTTTTCGAGCTTCTCTGCCCACAGCCGGGCTTGCTTTTAGACTTCATAACAAGACTTCCAGAAAAGCAGCAGGGACCCTGGCCTCCTTTTCCTTCTCTGTACCTTTATCCCAGTACAGAAGAATTGCATCCCCTCAGCCAGAAGTCAGGGAGACTTGGCAGGAGATTTACAGATCTCTTATGTGGGGGATGGACGGGAGAGTTTGCTATATTGGAGTTATTTTTCTATAAAAGCAGCTGGGTATAGGGTCCATTTTATACACGTAGGGGTTTTGTTTTATATCAGCTGTCAGCGGCGCTGCAGTAAGACTGAGCAGGGACCAAGCTGGAGGGCTTTTGTTAGGATGTCTGTAGTGGTCTTGTCCATGAGGGAAACCAGCTGTCAGGCTCTTTTCTCTGTAAGTGAAATGTTCTGTCCAGATCAAACCCAATGTGAGGCTCTGAGTATTTTGGGAGCTAGCAGGTAGATGTGTCCTTCAGTCTTCATAGCATACTTACCTGCAGATCCTAAAGAGCCAGCACAGGTTTTCAGGGGCACTAGGTAGAGACAAAATGTTATCCCAGGTGGCCTGTGATTCTCAGCATGCCATCACTGCCTCTCATCCAAGGAACCTTGTGGCTAGACTATTGGGCAGCCCTGGTCTCTGGGAGGTAGCAGGAGTCAGATGCTGGACTGTGGACATGTGGCCTCACCCCAGGT